TTCCTTCCTTGCAGTAGTGTGCTGAAAAGTATGTAACAGTCCACTCTCTGGGGGGAAAAGCCGTGATCTGTAGAGTGTGCCAGAGTCCCTGGTGGAAACGCAGCCGTGGTCGTAAACCATGTCTGATTCCCAGAGTAGCTGAAAATTTAAGTTGGCTTTCATAAAGGTGGTCTGAGTGATCTTTCCTTCACCACTGGATGCCTCCTTTGTTAAAAATAAAAACATTAAAAATCATAAAGCCCTAGACTTCTGAGGATTTGCATAAAGAAGTTTTAATGTCAGATTTTTAGTTTAATAGTAGAAAAAAAGGAGAAAATGATACATAGAAGAAAAAAACAGAAGTAGCTACCTTAATTGACAATAAAAGCACTTAGTTTCCGTTGCGTACCTGAAAGGTCAGCCTGGACTGAGTCCTTTTCACTGTGCCTTTCCGGCCTGCTGAGCAGAGGTTGGTAGAAGGACCTGGTGTTGGAAGTAGACCTGTGTTGTACTATCCCACAACTTTCAGGATGCTGAGACCACCCCGTGTTCTAAAATGTGGCAGCTGGCCCAGCATGGCGGCTCACACCTGTCATCCCAGTAGTTTGGGGCAGCCAAGGCAGGCAGATCATTTGAGCCCATGACTCCAGACCAGCTAAAAATTAGCTGGGCATGGTGGCGCATGCCTGTAATCCCAGCTACTCAGGAGGCTGAGGCAGGAGAATTGCCTGAACCCAGGAGGCAGAGGTTGCGGTGAGCCGAGATCGCGTCGTTGCACTCCAGCCTGGGTAACAAGAGTGAAACTCCGTCTAAAAAAAAAAAAGAATTTATTATTAGAAAGATAATAGGCAGTTACTGTAAAAAAAAGTTTGAACAGTATAGAAAGGTAAAAAGTTTGAACCCCTTTCTCTTGCATAATTTATACGAACCTACTTCCCAGTAATAATCTGTTACTATTACTATTAACATTTATTGAGTAGTTACTGTGCATAAGGCATGTTTCTAAGCATTTTACAGTTAAGATTTATCATGTGTTAACATTTCGTGTGCATAAACATACATCCTTTTTGTCTTAAATATACTTTTGTAATGTTGGGCAATTTGTTTTCACTTGCAATGTACCTTGGACAATTTTCCATGTCACTAGACACATTGCTTTTTAGAGACATAGTTCTGCTCTGTTGCCCAGGCTGCAGTGCAGTAGTGAGATCCTGCTGTTGCCCAGGCTGCAGTGCGGCAGTGAGATCCTGCTGTTGCCCAGGCTGCAGTGCGGCAGTGAGATCCTGCTGTTGCCCAGGCTGCAGTGCGGCAGTGAGATCCTGCTGTTGCCCAGGCTGCAGTGCGGCCGTGAGATCCTGCTGTTGCCCAGGCTGCAGTGCGGCAGTGAGATCCTGCTGTGACCCAGGGTGCAGTGCGGCAGTGAGATCCTGCTGTTGCCCGGGCTGCAGTGCAGCAGTGAGATCCTGCTGTTGCCTGGGCTGCAGTGCAGCAGTGAGATCGTGCTGTTGCCCGGGCTGCAGTGCGGCAGTGAGATCGTGCTGTTGCCCGGGCTGCAGTGCGGCAGTGAGATCGTGCTGTTGCCCAGGCTGCAGTGCAGTAGTGTGATCATGATTTACTGTAACCTTTAGCTCCTGTGCTCAAGCAATCTTCCCACCTCAGTCTCCCAAGTAGCTAGGACTACAGACGCACATCACCACACCCGGATAATTAAAACAAAAAAAATCTTTTTAAGAGATGGGGTTTTGCGACATAGCCCAGGCTGGTCTCAAATGGTCCTCCTGCCTTTGCCTCCCAAAGTGCTGGGATTACAGGCGTGACCCACTGTGCCCGGCCTACTTCTTTCTTTTGTTGTTGTTTTTACCAAGAACCACCTGAATAGTCATGCTTCATTCTTTATAGCTGTAAAGTTTCTATTGAATCAAGAGGATACCATAATTTATTTAATAATTCCTCTGATAAAGGACACTTCAGTTGTTGCTACTATTTGTTATTACAGGCAATGCTGCAACGGCCATTATGTTAGTCCATGTTTGCAATGCTATAAAGGAATACCCAAGGCTGGTTAATTTATAAAGAAAAAAGTTCTGATTTTGGCTCATGGTTCTGCAGGAAGTACATAAAGCATAGTGCCAGCATCTGCTTCCGGTGAGGCCTCAGGAAGCTTCCAATCGTGGCAGAAGGTGAAGTGGAGCTGGTGTATCACGTGGAGAGAGAGAGAGAGATGAGTCAGGCTCTTTCAGCTACCAGCTCTTGGGTGAACTCATACAGAGGGAACTCACTCATTACCCTAGGGATGGCGCCAAGCCATTCACACGGGATCCACCCCCATGCCCCAAACATCTCCTGCCAGGCCCCACCTCCAACATTGGGGGTTACATTTCAACATGTGATTTGGAGGGGGTAAACATCCTAACCATAGCAAGCATTCTTCACTATACATATAGAGTATATATAAAAATATATATTACTGGGCTAGGAGCGGTGGCTCACGCCTGTAATCCCAGTACTTTGGGAGGCCGAGGTGGGTGGATCACCTCGTCAATAGATCGAGACCAACCTGGTCAACAAGGTGAAACCCCATCTCTACTAAAAATACAAAAAATTAGCTGGGCACGGTGGCGCGTGCCTGTAATCCCAGCTACTTGGGAGGCTGAGGCAGGAGAATTGCCTGAACCCAGGAGGCGGAGGTTGCGGTGAGCGGAGATCGCGCCATTGCACTCCAGCCTGGGTAACAAGAGCGAAACTCCGTCTCAAAAAAAAAAAAAAAAAATTGTATATATATATATCCTAATAATTTTTTTTAGGTCTTTTTTTTTTTTTCCCGAGACAATGTCTCACTCTGTCACCCAGGCTGGAGTGCAGTGGTGTGATCATAGCTCACTATAACCTCCAACTCCTAGGTTCAAGCAATCCTCCCGCCTCAGCCTCCCAAGCAGCTGGGACTAAAGGTGCCTGCTACTGTACCTGGCAGTGTAAGATGATTTTTGGTACTGTTTACTCCACTGGAATGTAAACGTCATGAGAGCAGGGGCTTTATTTCTTGCCATATCCCCAGCACTTTATTCCTAGGGCCTAGTATATAGTTAAGTGTTTAATAAACACTTGAATGCTTACTACTTTACACCCAACAGATGGGCAAGAATGAAGTCTCCAAATAGCAAGTGCTGATGAGGATGTAGAGCAAGAGGATTCCTGTATCCTGCTGGGAGTGAAAATCAGTACATTTGCTTCCAAGAGCGATGAGATAACTCAAATGTGAATATTCTAGCACCAACCATTTTCATTGCCGACATACATTAGATATACTTTGGTACATGTGCCTTAGGAGAAATATACAAGAATTTTATTGTAGCATTCTTTATATTATATTGTACAAAAGCATCGTAGAATTCGGCGTATTTTTCTCTCTCTCTACACATGTATCGCAGACATTATTTTTTTATTCTGAGTCATTTGGGAATAAGTTTACAACATCATGACCAAATAAGGAAGTTGCAGAATTAACATTTACAAAATACTCAAAATATGCAAACAGTACGATAATGTAATTTATAAAAACATGTATATATAACAAGCAGAGAGGCAGGGACCGGAAAGATAAGCACTAACCCAGGCAAGTGGCCGCGGTGGGGACAGGAGAGGAAATGGGTTCAGGGATAAGCCTCACTATCTGGAATACTTTTCTTAAGCTGTGTTGAGGTTACGTATTTGTTATTGGCCGCACTGTTTTTGCAAGACTAATATAGTTTATAATTTTAAAAAATCAGGAATGGGCGGGGTGCAGTGGCTCATAACTGTAATCCCAGCACTTTGGGAGGCCGAGGTGGGTGGATCACCTGAGGTCAGGAGTTTGAGACCAGCCTGGCCAACAGGGTGAAACCCTGTCTCTACAAAAACACAAAAATTAGCCGGGAGTGGGGGGTGCACACCTGTGATTCCAGCTACTTGGGAGGCTGAGGCAGGAGAATGGCACGAACCTAAGAGACACAGTGAGCTGAGATCTCGCCACTGCACTGCAGCCTGGGTGACAGAGTGAGACTCCGTCTCAAAAAATAATAAATAAAACAAATCAGGAAGGGATGTTGCTTTATCAAATGTCTTCTTGGTGTTTATTAAAATAAAATGTATACAGAATAAATACCTGTTCCTCTCTCAGTTCTTCTATATCTAAGCCTTATTAATTTATGTCAAGGCCAAATTCCTCTCTAAAGGCTTTCTTCTTCACTTTCTGTACCAACTGCCCCACTCCCAGGGGTCCCTGGCACAGGCTGCTCACTGCCAGCGGGGCACACCACAGGACAAGCGTCTTCTCTCGTTTCTTCTGCTCCACAGTCAGTTCTGCCCATGTGCTACATACACGTACCGCCATTAAACAAGTGAGCCCAGTGAGGGGGGGCAAGGCCCTTGCTCAGCAGCCATTGCAATCCCAGGATCTATGTCAGAGCCGGCCCATCACAGGCTCTGGAAATGCTTGCTGCACAGCATTAAATGACACCACATTTGCATGTATCTGACACAATTACACGCAACGTTTTTAAACTAAAATGTTAATTTTAGAATAGTTTTAGATCTGCAAAAAATACTAAAAAGACAGCACAAAGCATTCCTCTACACCCCTCACGAATTTTCCCTCTCGTGAGTCTGCGTTCACCGTCCACGTCCCCCGAGCCTCGCACACACCCCCTGGCGAATGTTCTCGGCGTGGGTCACTCCCGGGTCATCCGCAGGTTTTCTCGCTCTCTTTGCGCAAACCCCTCGTGCAAAGAGAACAACCGGCTGCCGCCTCCAGCTTCCAGCTGGGCTAGAAGATGCGGCGCCTGGGGACGCCAGAGCAGTGCGGGGCCCACGGCGGGACGGAGCCATAGACCGCCGTCCGCGTCTGCCAGGCTTGGAAGCGGACTTGCAGCCAGAGCCGCCGCCCGAGGGGCCCCCCGGCCGCAGACCGGTGAGAAAGCGGCTGCTGGGCAGCGTTGCCTGCTCCGGCGCGAGGGGGGCGTGGCGTGGGCGTGGGGGGCGTGGCGTGGGCGTGGCGTGCGTGGCGTGGGCGTGGCGGCGTGCGCGCGGTGAAGGGAGCGCGGCGCGCTGGCTGTGGCTACAGCGGCGGCCTGGACGGCGGCGGTTGCTGCGCCCGGTACTGCGGTCGCTGCCTGAGGCGCAGGCGCCGTGGGCTCAGCCCGCCCCGGGCCTGGGCTCGCTGTGGACTCGTCATGGTGACCGCGGAGAGGCCTTTCCACCTGGTGGTGTTCGGCGCCTCTGGCTTCACCGGCCAGTTCGTGACCGAGGAGGTGGCCCGGGAGCAGGTGGACCCGGAGCGGAGCTCCCGCCTGCCCTGGGCCGTGGCGGGCCGCTCCCGGGAGAAGCTGCAGCGAGTGCTGGAGAGGGCGGCCCTGAAGCTGGGTAAAGGGGCGGCGTGGGACGGGGCTGTGGCCGGGACGCCGCCGCGCCCAAAGCAGCGTGTCTCCCGCTGGGGGCGCCCTCCGCGTCCCCGAGCCCTGCCTGAGGACAGGAAGAGGAGAGGGAGGGGTGTTTCAAACGCTGCCACGGCTTTGTTCCACCTCCTTAACAAAAACCAAACTATATATATATGTGGGGGGTACAGGAAAAAGAAAAAAATTCAAAACGGAAGCGTTCTCGGCGTGGGCCACCCCCCGGGTCACCGCAGGTTCGCTCGCCCTCTGCGCTACCGCTCGGTGCAGCCAGAACCACGGGCTGCCGCCTCCGCCTCCAGCACGGCCGGAAGATGCGGCCCCTGGGGCGGCCACAGCCGCGCACACGTGTGTGTGTGTGTGTGTAATTTTAATATATATATATATCATTTTAATGTATATATACTTTTCCTCCTCTTTCCCGCTTTTGAATTTCTGCCTCAGTTTGGGGAGTTCCCTGGCGAAATGGTCAGAAACTTGAGTTGTCCCTCTCTCTGCTCCATCCTGCCCCGCAGCAGGGGCACCTGTTGAGTCCGGGGTTTGTGGGGCGGGGGGAGTGGGTCGCGGTATTTGGTCGCAGAGGAGAGGAGGATTTTCGTTTCTTGGAGATCGGAGTCTCCCTTTGCCTTCTGTTTTGAGGATGGGACAGCAAGCTTAAGAGTTGCATGTACCAGCAGTGGCTTTTGTGGCTCTCCCGCTTTCGTTTATTGTTTTTTGTGTAGGAATACTCCAGGCTTCCTCTTTATAAAATAAAAAGTTTGTCTTTCTGGTTTAGACGCTTGCTTATTCTCTAAGCATTCAGGTAGCGTATATTTGTTGAGTGACCTGGTCCACGGTAGGTGCTGTCCTGAGTCTGGGGTTGCAGGTGGGACAGAGAGGAGACAGACACATGGACCCTGTGCCTTCAGGGCTGGGGAGACATCTAACTTAGGACTCTGTAGCCTTTAGATTTGGCTATTCACTCCCCACCCTAGATTTCCCTTGTACAGACACCTGCTAGCATTCTGGAAATAATACATTCTCTCTCTTTAATCTGCTTTCATACCATGCCCTGCTCAGGGTGCTTCTGTTCTGGGTAAATACGGAAGACACCACGTAGGCTAGATTCTCCTGCAGCTTTTGGTGCTGATACTACCAACACATAATTTTGACCAAAGAGCTTTTTGGACTTTATTTTTCCAGGAGAAGTAATTTCACTATTAAAATACATGCTTCCATTTCTTTTTCCAGCTCGGCAAGATCGTCCGGGTACAGCCTAGTCACTTCCCATATATAATGCCCAAATCAAGTTATATTGTGGGGGATATACCTTGAGCTATTGAAACCTGTGTCACTTAGTTGAGCCAGTTAATTCCAACTATTTTATTATACGAGTTGTGTGTGCGTTTATATAGCATGTAATTTTCACCTCAGAGTTCTAATGGATTTGATGTTAACAGTCAGTCCCTCTCCATCACCTACAGCTGGATCACAGTAATTGTTGAATAGTTGATGAGGGACTTTTTAATTAGTTTAAAGGTCTCATTCTGCCACCCAGGCTACAGTGCAGTGGCATTGACCTGTGTCTAAGCGATTCCGCCACCTCAGCCTCCTGAGTAGCTGGGACTACAAGTGTGTGCCACAATGTCCAGATTTTTTTTTTTTTTTTGGTAGAGACAAGGTTTTGTTATGTTGCCCAAGCTGGTCTTGAACTCCTGAGCTCAAGAAATCCTTCTGCCTTGACCTCCCAAAGTGCTGGGATTACAGGCCAGCCACTGCTCCTGGGCAAGAAACTATTTTTATAATATAAATTCCCTGCTGGAGAGGAAGTCTGGGTAGTCATCTGCTCAGCATTTAAACTTGATTGTGAAATTGTCATGTTACACAGGGTTGTTATTTACACAATGATTTTATTATATTTTTTTAAAAGGTCAGTTTTTTAGTAACCCTTAGCGTCAATTCAGTTTTCCTCATAGCCTTTTCCTTTTTTATTACCTGATTAAAAAGTTTTATTCAAGACAGAGAGCTAGCTTTCAGTTTATCAGTGTATTTAGTGATTTGCTGTCACTGATTGCTGTAAAAAGATATGGAAGATTTAGTCCTCTGCCGAGATTTGCTTTCCTGAATTTGTTTCTTATTTTAGGAAGACCAACACTGTCATCTGAAGTTGGAATCATCATATGTGATATTGCTAATCCAGCCTCACTTGAAGAAATGGCTAAACAGGCAGCAGTTGTCCTCAATTGCGTAGGACCAGTAAGTAATCAGCCCCGCTTTGTAGCAGAACAAACAGTCCATTCATTTCTAGCAAAATATTCCAGAGGAACATAAGGCCAGTGGACAAGGCCTTAACCCCATCTGGGGAGTTTTTTCTTCTTTGAGGAGCAAATGGACATGATCAAAGCCTCCTGAGCGGGCGTGTGACAGGCACTCTATGACACTGTCCTTAGAGAATGTGTGCTGGTTTGTTGATTGTTACATCTGTGATTGTCAGCATTTTCTTTACTTTTTACTGTATGCCCCTTCAGTAAAAATGTTCGGGTGTGTATCCCCAGTATATTATTTATAAACTATATTCTTGTGTTACTGTATAAATATATATATATTATTTGTTAATTTTTTTTTTTTTGAGACCGAGTTTCGCTCTTGTTACCCAGGCTGGAGTGCAATGGCGCCATCTCGGCTCACCGCAACCTCCATCTCCTGGGTTCAGGCAATTCTCCTGCCTCAGCCTCCTGAGTAGCTGGGATTACAGGCACACGCCACTATGCCCGGCTAATTTTTTGTATTTTTATTAGAGACGGGATTTCAGCATGTTGACCAGGATGGTCTCGATCTCTTGACCTCGTGATCCACCCGCCTCAGCCTCCCAAAGTGCTGGGATTACAGGTGTGAGCCACCACGCCCGGCCCATTTGTTAATTGTTTCTCAAGAGAAACTGTTTCTTAGCCCTCATATTCAGATGTCATAGTTCATGAACCCAAGTCAGTGACAAACTTCTAGATAATTCAACCTGAAGAAATCCTTTCTATTCCAAGATGACTTTACGAAAGATACCAGCCTTCTTCGTCTCTCAAAATCTTTTTGGGGATTGTAATTTCTGTAGACATCTGCATATGCCTTCTTTCTTGGTTCAGCCACACCAAACTTAGAGAGAGCTGCAACCCCCAGGGATACCAGGAATGCTCCAACCATGTGAAATCGCAGATGCCCAGCCAGAAGGCCACGCGTCTGAGGTTTTGGCAAAACTTCAGAAGCCACAGTAGTTAACTGTTCTTGAGATGTGTGCCAGCCTCAGCCCCAGTGTCCTTCCAGACTGATGGACATAAATATATTTTTTAATGCACAAAAGGAAGACTAAAAAAGTACTCATTATTGAATAAATATTGATACTTTATGTAAAATGCACTATTGTAGGCACCTGGGACACAGTGGTGACAGAAAAGAAAGTCCCTCATGGAGATTACATTCTTGTGTGGAAGACAGAAAAGTAGGATTGTAATAGGAGGTAATGAGTGCTTTGAAGAAAAGTGAAACAAAGAAAGGAGACAAGGTATTGGCATATCAGTGGTTTTAGGTGGATGGTCAGGGAAGGTTTCTGTGAGGAATTGATGTTAGAGCAGAGATCTGAATGAATTGAGAGCAAATCGGATGAGTCTTTTGAGGAGACACTGTTCCAGGGAGAGCAGGTACAAAGTTCCTGAGATTCGAGTGTGCTTGGCAAGACTGAAGAATGTCAGAGGCCTGTGACTGGACAGGGCAGAGAGGTGGAAGGTGGGTGGGAGAGATGCCCAGGAGCTGGGCCGTGTGGGATCTTGTAGGCCATGGTCAGGATTTGGATTTTATTTTTTCCAGGTGTGACCAAGAGGCATTGAATGGTTGAAAGTAAGGGCTTCACCTGATTTAAATGTGAAGTTCTTTGGCTTCTGAGTGGAAAAAACAGATAATAAGGGAATGGTCCAAGCATAAGCATCCCCACGGTAGTAGTGGTAGAGGTGCTGGGAGGGAGTTAGGGTCGGAGTGTATTTTCAAAGGAGAACAGCTTTTGAATGTTCTTGAGAAAAAGTCATCAAGTCACAGGCCATCAGACTTTTGGCCTGTGTAACAAGGTGAATGTTGGTGACATTTAGTGATCTGAAGAAGCCATCACAGTTGACAAGATATTTAAAAATTAAATATCTAAACTATTAACAATTTTTAGGGAGAGCAAAAGGATTTTGAATTGTTGTTACAAAAAAATGTTGTTTATTTGGATTTATCTCGTTCTTAACTAGCTTAGATTCCATCCATCAGGTCCATTGCTCCACTCTACAGTGTACACCCTTAACTGTCTCCCTTGCCTTTTTCTCCTCAGTGCTCTGGAAAAGTCTCAGCCCTGGTTATTCTCTGCCTACTCTTCACCTGAATCTGAGTAACCCATATGTGGCTGGAGAAAAACGTATCCGCTGCTAACTGGTCACACATCAGATATGTGTTTCCGAACCTCGTCTGGGGCTCAGCACCTCCAGCAGTTCTGCTCTGTTTCCCTCAGGAATTGTGTCTCCTGCTCTCTGGAGCAGCTTCACAGCCTTGTTTTCCTCGCACTTTTCATACCCATCTCTCTTTCCTTGTCCTTGTCTGATGATTGTTTTCTTTTTTTTAGCTATGAAAGTAGAAGCTGGTTAATAGAATTTCTTCCTTTGTTTGCCTACCACCAGGTCTACCTACCTGTCTGCCGGTCGGCACTGTACCTGTAGTCCGCCATATGTCTTGTCACAGGCAAAACTGCTCCTGTTCCTGCTGGACACAGTGTGCAAGGACTTTAAGTTTACGGTTACACGTTGTCTTGTTATCAAATTTCCCCTCTTCACTGGATTATTTCTTTTGTGTGTGTGCTCTCTATAAGTTTATTGTCTTTATCTGGAAAATCCTCATAGAAAATTGTTTGGTTTAGCTCTCAGCAGCCCACTCCTGAGCTCTGAGGAAGCTTTCTTCTGAGCAAGGGACATGTTGGGGCGGTTCCACTTCTTCTTTGTAACTTCTTTCTCGGGCTTCTTTTCATAAACTGGATTCTCTCGTATAGCAGCATGAGCTTTCTCATACATCTTCTCCGTCATGTCTGGAGTTATGCTGTTCTTCATGTATTGAGAGAACTGTTTGTTGGAAGCATCTTCATCTTCTTCATTAAGAATGTTGCCTGTAATCTGTGACGTTCTGGCCCATGGTGTGCTTCTGGTGTGCTGCATTGAATTCCTTGCTTTCAGAATCATAACCAGGGAATTGTTTGGTACTGTGAGGGATAGACAAGCCTCCATCCACAGCTCCCTTCAGGGCACCAAAAACTTTCTTGTCAGTGGTAGTTCTGGCGAGGCCTGCATCTAAATAGCAGGTAAAGGCGCCTGGCCGACCAGCAGTGCTTTCCATGTGGTATTCTTCACCAGTCACCTCCACTTGGCCTTCATAGATCTTGTCCAGGCCAAACCGATTGAGAAGCAGGCCAGTACAGTATGCCATAGCATGATTTGTCAGGCCAACCTTCACACCGTATTTTGGCAGTTCATGTGCATATGCTGCGCAGACTGTCATATCCCCTTTACAGGCGTCAGCAATCTGACAGGTGACATCTCTGTTACATGAACTATCATCTTGTATTTGGGCATGTTGTATTTATTTTTATCCTGTATCGTCAAGTGTTTTCGAGCATAGTGATCAGTTTTACCCTCTCGTTGTCTTCTGAATCTCACTTGGTATCCCTTAAAGTAGGTCTTATTCTTAACAACTTTAGCAAACCCCATCCTGTGGCGGCTCAACAGAGACCTGCAGGCCCAGCAGCGCTTAGGGGTGGAAAAGGTAGATTATTTCTATCACATTTAAATATGTGCTATCTCCCATCTTTAAAAGTTGCTTGATTCCACATCCCTTCCAACTGCTCCGTTTTTTGTGTCCCCTTTTAGCAACCTCCTTGAAAGGATTCTCATGACTCACTGTCTCTACTTCCTCACCTGCTACTCTATCTTAAACCACTCTTATGGAACTTGTGTTTCCTCCCTACTGCAGTGAAAGCACTCTGCCGAAGTGCCTTCCTGTGAAATCCAGTCCTCATCCGCAAGCTTTCAGCATTTCATCCAGTTGACCCTTTATTCTGTCTTCACTTGGCTTCCACACTGTCATCCTCTTGCAGGTTTCCTGCTGTCCACCAGCTTCACCCTGGAAGTCCTAGTCTTTGGCATCTTTTTATCCTCCCGGCTTTAAATGCCTGAGGCCTCAGTGTTCAAGCTTTAGAAACTCAATAACCTTATTGAGGCATTAGGCTGCGGTATAATGAAGATGACTGACTGAAGAGGGGTAGTGGCCCCTCTGTGTTATGAAACTCTCCCACAGCCCTCAGGATACCTGTTGTGCCCTGTCTTCAACACGTGACCACTTAACATGGCCCAGGGAATATCTTAGAGTCAGTCCATACATTAACTGTCAATTTTATGTTTTTTTCTGTGTTTTCAACACATGATCACTTAACGTTGCCCAGGGAATGTCTTATAGTCAGTCCATATGTTAACTGTTAATTTTATGTTTTTCTTTGTGTGTTTTATAAAAATTAGCATGAATGAAAGTTCTGATACTTACTTCCATCCCCAGTGGATCATTCTGTGCTTCCCTTGGGGGAAGTACACCTGCTTGGGAGACCACTGGGTTAGAAGATGGAGCACTGAGGGCCAGGCGTGGTGACTCACACCTGTAATCCCAGCACTTTGGGAGGCTGAGGTGGATGGATCACTTGAGGTCAGGAGTTTGAGACCAGCCTGGCCAACATGGAGAAACCCCATCTCTACTAAAAATAGAAAAAATTAGCCGGGCATGATGGCAAGTGCCTATAATCCCAGCTACTCGGGAGGCTGAGGCAGGAGAATCGCTGGAACCGAGGAGGCAGAGGTTGCAGTGAACTGAGGTTGCGCCACTGCACTCCAGCCTGGGCAACAAGAGTGAAACTCTGTCTACCAAAAAAATAAAAAGAAAGTGGAGCATTGAGAGCATGATTGTAGTTTTAACCTCTAAGCTAACTGGCCTCACAGGAGAGAGGTGTCTTCCTTGAGATGAAGGATTGCTACTCCGTGTTCACCTGTCTCAGACCAGCACAGGGTACTAATGGAGAAAAATCGAACAACTTCATAAAATGGGAATAAGTGAGTGAGAAGTCTCAACTCCAGATTACTCAAAGAAGTGGGCCAGATGTGACAAAATGCAGTAAAAGTGAGGAATGTGCAGACTGTGGCAAACAGGAAAATGTGTTTTCTTTCCATAAGGAACTACTGTTATTTTTATAAGCTCATTAATACTTCACTGCAGCTTGCCGGTACTTGTAGATGAACTGCCTAGCTGATAGGCTCACTAGCCCAACAAGAGAAGTGAGCCTGGAGGAGCTGGCAGGTGGCCAGGCGGAATGGAGGGAAGGTGTTCCAGGTACTGGAAGCAAGCACACTGGGTGTGAAGCAGCATGCTTGGGGCATCACATGGAATTCAGAACTGCTGGAACGTGACAGTTAAGGGGCTGTGGTGTGATATGATGCTAAGGACTTTTGTGACATGCTACGAAGTTTGGATTTTGTACTGTATCCTGAAGGGTTTTAAGAGTGGATATTTTATAGGAGTGGGCCAGGAGGAAAGGTGACATCAGATTTTTAGAATAACAGTTTGTTATTTATTTGGAGATAGGGCTAGCTGGCTGCCGTGTAACCAGTTAGGGCCTATTTGTAGTAAATTAGATGAGTGTCGACAGGGTCTGAACTAAGATACAGTTGTGTAGGGTAGAGGAGACTGGATCAAACTTTGTGACTTCCAATATAGGTCGTGAGAAAGACTGCGTCCATATTTTTTTTTTTTTGAGGCGGGATCTTTCTCCATCACCCAGGCTAGAGGGCAGTGGCACGGTCTCGTCTCACTGCAACCTCCGCCTCCTGGGTTCAAGCAATTCTCCTGTCTCAGTCTCCTGAGTAGCTGGAACTACAGGCACATATCACTACCCCCAGCTAATTTTTGTGTTTTTAGCAGAGATGAGGTTTCACCATATTGGTCAGGCTGGTCTTGAACTCTTGACCTCAGGTGATCTACCTGTCTTGGCCTCCAAAGTGCTGGGATTACAGGCATGAGCCACTACACCCAATCTTCTTCCTGGTTTTAACCTGAGAATTATGTGGGGAGTAATGCCATTAATAATAACAAAAAAATAAATCTGAACGCCATGTGCCCGGTACAGTGCTAAGTTCTTTGCATTCTCTTATTTCATCCTCACAACTACCCAGGGAAGTCGGTGTTATCAATCACCATTCTTTGATTGAAGAGGTTGATGCTTAGAAAGTGACTTGCCCAAGGTCACACAGCTAGTGGCTACAGAACTGGATGTAAGTCTGGCCTGACGTGAAAGCCCATACTCTAGACCACTCTGCTCTTCAGCCCTTTGCACAGTTTTGTCTCAGAGTCTTCACTTACTTGAGCATATCAGGAAGATGTTAGAACTGGGACCTGGGCACGCTGAACTAGGGGCTATACTTTTTTTTTTTTGAGATGGGGGTCTCACTTTGTTTCCCAGGCTAGTGTATAGTGGCACGAACACAGCTGACTGCAGCCTCAACCTCCTGGGCTCAAGTGATCTTCCATCTTCAGCCCTGCAAGTAGCTGGGACTACAGGCACAAGCCACCACATCTAGCTAATTTTTGTATTTTTTGTAGAGACAGGGTTTTACCCTCTTGCTCAGGGTGGTCTCTAGTGATTCACTCTGCTTAGTCTCCCGAAGTGTTACAATTACAGACATGAGCCACTGTCCCTGGCCATGTTTGTGTTTGTGTGTGTGTGTGTATATATATGTATTTTTCTTAGGGAGACAGGGTCTCAAAGTGATCCTTCTGGCTCAGCCTCCCAAAGTGATGGGATTACAGTTTGAGCCACCACACAGACCTGCAGGCTACGTGTTGAAGCATGTGCTAGGAAGTAGAGGAGGAGGAGAAATAGGTTTGGAGAGAGATGATGAATTCAGTTTTAGACTTGGTGAGATTGAGGTATCTGCTAGATACTTTTCATCAAGACAAAAATACAAATAATACATTGTTTGTATATGATGTTTTATAAGTGAGAAAATCAGGGTGAAGAGAAAATAAAAGGAAAATGTAGGCAAAGTGAAATTAGTTTTATGTGTGACTCATGGCACCTGTCCTGTGCTGTCCCTGCTCCTGACCTTTCTAACAAAAACCACAGATAGGGAAAACTTATTAGTGAGCAACTCTAGACATAGAGATTGGAAGTCGCCAGCTCAGATTTTATTGAAGTTGAGAGAGTAGGTGAGATTTCCTGAGAGAATGTCCAGGGCAGTGATTCTCCATCTTTGAAGTACACAGGAATCACCTGTGACGACTATTTAAAATGCAACTTACGCCGGGCTCGGTGGCTCAAGCCTGTAATCCCAGCACTTTGGGAGGCCGAGGCGGGTGGATCACGAGGTCAAGGGATCGAGACCATCCTGGTCAACATGGTGAAACCCCGTCTCTACTAAAAATACAAAAAATTAGCTGGGCACGGTGGTGCGTGCCTATAATCCCAGCTACTCAGGAGGCTGAGGCAGGAGAATTGCCTGAAACCAGGGGGCGGAGATTGCGGTGAGCCGAGGTCCCACCATTGTACTCCAGCCTGGGTAACAAGAGTGAAACTCTGTCTCACAAAAAAAAAAAAAAAAAAAAAAAATGCAACTTACTGGAGTCTACCTCAGAAAGCCCGATTCTGGGGGTCTGTAGTGGGACTGAGTAACCAGCATGTGACCCAGGAGATTCCAAAGCAGGTGGACTAATGGCCATTTCAGAAATTTTTGGGTAAAATAACCCCAAGGGGCACACCCTTTCCTCATTTGACTTCCTCATCCTTTTGCTCTATAATTTCTCTGCATACTTCATCACACCCCTTCTCCTCTCCAGAATCTTCTGAATCCAGGGCAGAAGGCACCAAAGCCCAAACAGACCACACCAGAATAGAAATATCCTTTACTCCTCCTCGTTGTACCTTCCTTAAAGTAGTACCCACTGTTTCCCATTCTCCCATGGTCAGTGCTCCCTGCTCAGGAAACCACATCAAAAATCCTTCAGCCACATCAAAAAACTGTGTTAAACTCAGCACCAGCTTCAGTTCCCCCTCTTTTAAGCAGTGTTGAAGGAAACCAGAACAAGCCTCTCACGTGCTTGATCCTTGTCCCATGTTGCCCTAATAATGCTGAGCTCCCCCAGTTCATGCTGAGAAATTTTTTCAAGAGTTTTCGGTCTCCACCAACTAACCCTGGGAGATTTTTTTCAAGAGTTCTCGGTCTACTTCTGGGTTCTCCCTAGCTCACCTGGGAGAGTCTTTCAAAATTTCCTGGGTCCCTTCCAAGCTCCCCGGGGATTTTTTCCAAGAGTACTTGGGATAACTTCACCTTAGCCTCTCATCTCTCCTTTGCTCAGGCAACTCTTCTTCCAGGTTCGAGTCCCCACACTTGGGTACCATTTACTGAGTACCAGCTTGGCCAGGGAGACCCCACCCAGGCAGCGCTGAAGGCAATGAGAGGCAAACACACAGAATAGCAAAGTGGATCTATCTAGGGGGAGCAGCCTGCCCAGCTGAGAGCCTCAGGGGCTGACAGCATTCCAGCATTCAGTGGCTGTCAGAATCCAGGAGATTCTCATCCACATACTTATTCTCTCTCAACGGGTGACCGTTATTAATAAACAGGTATCCTGCATTCACTAATAACTCATAAATATTCCAAATAGGCAGCTGTTACCTGCCTACCACTAATTACAAACTAAAAGGTATTCACAAGGGAGCCACGGGGGCAGGGTAGACTTAATGTTTCTCAGTACTGCCCGCCTTGGCCTCCCAAAGTGTTGGGATTACAGACATGAGCCACCGTGCCTGGTCATTTTCTCAATTTATCTTTAGGCTATTTTATTAACATTTGATTTCTTGATAGCTAGGACTGTTCACTTCCAGGATTAGGTGGCATTTTATCCATTTAAACTTATCAAGAATAACCTGTTTGTTCTTTTTATTTCCCTAGTATCGATTTTATGGAGAACCTGTAATAAAAGCGTGTATAGAAAATGGAGCCAGTTGTATCGACATCAGTGGAGAACCTCAGGTATATAAGACGAAAAGAAAAAAAATATTTAGTGCGATTTTGCAGACATATTTAGAAGCCAGCAACTCCTTTCTAGTGTTTAGAGGTGGTATTTGTATGGCATTCCATTGATAGCTCAAAGGAGAGCACTGATGGTAAGGTCTTAGCTTCGGCTTTCTTGGATTTATTCTTTACAACATCATTTATTTTCGGTCCATGCTTATTATAGCTACTTCGTGCTTTAAACTGAATTAATTAAAATGAGGGACTATACATAATTCTTAGAATCTCCCTTTTGTAATGTTTTCATTTTGAATTCCCTTTTAAAAATCAGGTACCTTTATAACATTACAGAAAAATAAAGGTAAAATTCACTAGTATAAAATCAACCTAAACATTTTAAATATTCACATTTATTGAATGCTTGCCATGTGCCCAACATTGTGCTAAATGTTTTATGTAACTTTTAAAAAACTACCTATGGAGTAGTTATCATCTTGCTTTATTTTTTATAGATGAGGTAATTAAAGTTTAGGAAGCTTAAGTAACTTGCTCAGTAACATAGAAGAACCAGGTCTTCAATTGAGGTTTGCTTGACCACAGGAAATTGTGTTTTAACAGGTGTTAAGCTATAATTCAGCCTTTAAAATGGTAACCTCAAATGTCTCTGTAGTTAGTACTGATTGTCATCAGCTTGCCAATATAATATTAATATGTATTTGCAGTTTATCAATTGGTAAAATACTGGAAAACACTGAGAAAGTGTAAATTACCAAAACTGATTGAAGAAGAAGAAAGAAACATAAATTTTAAAAAAGGCCAAGTGAGGCCGGGTGCGGTGGCTCACGCCTGTAATCCTAGCACTTTGGGAGGCCGAAGCAGGTGGATCATGAGGTCAAGAGATTGAGACCATCCTGGTCAACTTGGTGAAACCCCATCTCTACTAAAGATACAAAAAATGAGCTGGGCCTGGTGGTGCGTGCCTGTAATCCCAGCTACTCAGGAGGCTGAGGCAGTAGAGTTGCCTGAACCCGGGAGGTGGAAGTTGCGGTGAGCTGAGATCGCACCATTGCACTCCAGCCTAGGTAACAAGAGTGAAACTCCGTCTCAAATTAAAAAACAAAACAAAACAAAACAAAAAGGCCAGGTGAGGTGACACACACCTGTTATCCCAGCACTTTGGGAGGCTGAGGTGGGAGGATGACTTGAACCCAGGAGGTTAAAAAAAAAATCAGCCAGGTGTTGGTGCACAGCTGTGGTCCCACCTACCCAAGAGGCTGAGATAGGAAGATCGCTTGAGCCTGGGAGGTCAAGGCTGCAGTGAGCTGTGATCATGTTACTGCACTCTAGCCTGGGCACTAGTGAGACCCTGTCTCCAGAAAAACAAAACAAAAATGTAAAACGATTCTCATGTTATTTAAAATAACCCAGAGCATAGAAAATGGTGAAAAGCTGTTAAGTCATCTTATAAACTATCATAAAAGTAATAGCAAAAACTTTTTTTTTTTCAATTCAGGGTCTTACTCTGTTACCCAGCTTAGAGTGCAGTGGTGCAATCTTGGCTCACTGTAACCTCTGCCACCTGGGTTCAAGTGATTCTTCCACCTCAGCTTTCCGAGTAGCTGGGAGTACAGGTACATACTACCACTGTTGGCTAATTTTTGTATTTTTAGTAGAGACAAGGGTTTCACCATGTTGGCCAGGCTGGTCTTGAACTCCTGGTCTCAAGCGATCCACCCACCTCAGCCTCCCAGAATGTTGGGATTATAGTCATGAGCCACTGTGCCCGGCCTTAATATCAAAACCTAATAACGGGCTGGGCACAGTGACTCATGCCTGTAAACGCAGCACTCTGGGAGGCCAAGCTGGGCAGATTACTTGAGGCCAGGAGTTCGAGGCCAGCCTGGCCAACAAGGCAAAACCTGTCTCTACTAAAAATATAAAAATCAGCCAGATGTGGTGGTACATGTCTGCAATTCCAGCTACTCGGGAGGCTGAGGCACAAGAATCACTTGAACCCGGGAGATGGAGGTTGCAGTGAGCCGAGATTGCACCGCTGCACTCCATCCTGGGCAACAGAGTGAGATCCTGTCTGAAAACTACAACAGCAAACCTAATAAAGAACCAGAGGCCTGGGTGTGGTGGCTCGCACCTGTAATCCCAGCACTTTGGGAGGCCGAGGCAAGCAGATCACAAGGTCAAGAGATTGAGACCATCCTGGCCAACACGGTGAAGCCCCATCTCTACTAAAAAATAAAAAGATTAGTTGGGCATGGTGGCACGTGCCTATATTCCTAGCTACTCAGGAAGCTGAGGCAGGAGAATCGCTTGAACCCAGGAGGCGGAGGTTGCAGTGAGCTGAGATCGCACCACTGCACTCCAGCCTGACGACAGAGTCAGAGTCTGTCTCAAGAAAGAAAAAGGAACCAGAATATATAAATAAATAAATATATAAATAAAAATATTTCTATTATTTATAAGTCAATAATAGAAATAAAGATAACTTATTTTAAAAATGGGCAGAGGATGAGAAGAGACAAATCTGTGTGGAAGAATTCCAAATAATTTATGTAGCTTTTCCACTTTTATGTGAAAGCAGCTGTGTGCATGACTAAGTGTGCTAGTGTGCTTGTGTATGCATGAGTGTGACTGTTAGTGTGACAATGTGTGTCTCTGTGTGCATGAGCAAGTGTGTGTATATGTGTGACTATGAGCATGAGAGTGTGTGTCTGCATGTATGTGTGTGGTGTGTGTGTTTGTGTCTCTGTGTGCATGAGCAAGTGTGTGTATATGTGTGACTGTGTATGTGCATGAGAGTGTGTGTCTGCATGTATGTGTGTGGTGTGTGTGTTTGTGTCTGTGTATGTGCTTGAATAGGTGTGATTGCATATGTGTGTCACCCTCAAGGAGAGGGAGCATAAATTGACAGTGGAGAAACCTGGCAAACACTGCCTCAGCCAGGTGTTCGAGTCAGTATCAACGCTGGTAAGTCATGTGACTGCATAGCCTCGATGTGATGTGATGAGAATCGCACTGCACCCCTGTGGGCTTCTTTCCAAAACTCATAACCTCACTTTAATAATGAGAAAAACATGAGATAAATTCCAGTAGAGGGGCACTTTACAAAATGCCTGACCAGTACTCCTCAAAACTGTCAGGATTATCGGAAACAAGGAAAGTGTGAGAAACTGTCCCAGCCAAAAGAAGCCCTGATGACTGAATGTAACGTGGTGTCCTGGCTGGGATCCTGGAACAGAAAAAAGGTGTTTGGTAAAAACCAAGGGAGTCAGAAGGAACTGTGAACTTCAGTTAATTAACAGTATGTCAGCATTAGTTCATTAACTGTAACAGCTGTTAATATGAGATGTTAAAAATAGAGAAAACTGGGTTTCAGGGTACTTGGGAACTTTCTACTATTCAGTTTTTCTGTAAATCTTTATTTAAAAAAAATGAATTGTGAAAACAGGCAGAAGAGCAGAACAGACATTATTCCCCTGTGCCCTGTTATCCTCTCCTTCCTATTATCTGTCTGTACATAGGCAGAGCTCTGTGTCTGTGATGATGTTCACCTGGGTAATGCTATTTGGGGTAGGTTTTTTTTTTTTTGCTTATTTTATCTTTTTTTATGTTTTATTTAATTTTTTATAATAGGTAATACTTTTACATTTAAAAGCCATGCTACAAAAATGGAATGTCATTAAGTCAGATCAGCGTATCTTCCACGTCACCTGGTGCATGGTAGGCATTGTTATTTGCCGAATAAGTGAAAAATATTCTGACAGTTAATATTTTGCTGCAAAGCCACACCGGTTAACATTTTCAAAGTTTAATTGTTTTTAAAGATAAATTATTTATAATATTGGGCTGCGTCTTTCTACATAGCTCTAATTAAAATTCTTGTCCTGGATTTTGTAGTTTCTGGAGCTAATGCAGTGGAAATATCATGAGAAAGCTGCAGAAAAAGGGGTTTATATCATTGGAAGCAGCGGCTTTGACTCCATTCCGGCAGATCTGGGAGTAATATATACCAGAAATAAAATGAATGGTAATTACTCATCAATAAGCAGTAATGGAATTTAACAGTATAAGGGCTTCGTGTTTGTAACTGGTGAACTAAAATGTAGTTGGAAAAAGAAAGCCTTAATTGGGTAATATTAAAACCTGTGTTTTTAGTACAGCTACACTTTTAATAAAATGCTCTTGAGACTATTGTTGAGACATGATAGTACTGCATTTTATGATGAGAAATTGTTGTCTTTATAGTTTGGTTTGAGCTGTAAAATTTCTGGAAAAGAACTGAAAATGTTGGCAACTGTTTAATAAATTCAAACTCGCTTTGTTTAGGAATCAGCACATTTTAAAGTATAATTTGTATATTATAATTAAAAGGGTTTTTTTTTTTTTTTTTTGAGAAGGAGTCTCACTCTGTTGCTCAGGCTGGAGTGCAGTGGTGTGATCTCAATCACTGCAACCTCTACCTCCTGGGTTCAAGCGATTCTTCTGCCTCAGCCTCCTGAATAGCTGGGACTACAGGCATGTACCGGCACGCCCGGCTAATTTTTGTATTTTTTATTAGAGATGGGGTTTCACCATATTGGCCACGCTGATCTTGAACTCCTGACGTTGTGATCTGCCTGCCTCGGTGTCTGAAAGTGCTGGGATTACAGGCATGAGCCACCATGCCCAGCCAACAGGTTTAAAATTTTTAACCATCAATACTTTCTAACCAGCTAGAAAGTATTGAACACAGAAGGGGAGATAAGTGGAGTTATTTAAGAATGGAGAAAATAATGTTACAATAAAACATTTGAAGTTGCTAATGTTTTAGATATTTAAGAGTGTCTGTTTAGAAAATTACCTGAGCAGGGCATGGTGGTTTGCACCCATTATCTTAGCTACTTGGGAGGTTGAAGCAGCAGGGTCTCTGGAGGCCAAGAGTTCAAGACCAGCCTGGGTAACATAGCAAGACTTGTCTCTAGAAAAAAAAAAATTAGCCAGGTTTGGTGGTGTGCACCTGTAATAGGTCCCAGCTCGGGAGGCTGAAGTAGGAGGATCACTTGAGCCCTGGAGTTTGAGGCTATACTAAGCTATGATTGCACCACTGCGCTCTAGCCTGGGTTACAGAGTGAGACCGTATCTCTTGAAAAACAAAACAAGACCAAAAAAGCCTACCTGAAACAGATAACTCCAGTGCCATATAAAGTGTTCTAGAACTTTAAAAAATTGGAAAATGTTTCAGTATATATTAAAAAGTTGGCAAAACTGAAACCGAAGTCCAACAAAGATAAGCACACACACACAAACTACAAATTTTGCTCATGAAATTAGAAGTAAAAAGAAAATACTATATAAAATTTTAATAAATCCAGCGCCATTTAAAAAAGTTTTTTTTAAAGACAGGATCGTGCTCTGTCATAGGTCACTGTAACGAACTCCTGGGCTCAGGCAGTGCTCCCTCCACAACCTCCTAAGTAGCTAGGACTGCAGGCTCATGCCACCATACCCAGCTAATTTTGTAACATTTTTGTAGATATGGGGTCTCACTGTGTTGCCCAAGCTGGTCTTGAACTCCTGGCCTTAGGTGATCCTCCCACCCTGGCCTCGTAGAGTATTGGGATTACAGACGTGAGCTACTATGCCCAGCTCATCCAGTGGCATTTTAAAAGAACAATATATTGAGACCAAGGTTTAGCATTAGGAAGTTATATAATCATGTAGGATCAGAGGTGAACAGCTATCTATATGCCCATCTCAAAAAATGGTTTGAAAATTCAAAACACCATTTACTAATTTTACATTTTTTGGAATTTAGGAATAGAATAGTTTCTTACATAATAAACATGAGAAGGCAGTAGCCAGTATTGTACTTAGTGGTGAAACACTAGAACCACTCCAATTAAAAAGTGAAATGTGAATTGAAATACGAAATTCAGTTGAAATGTGAAATTCAAAATATTCAGTGTTCCAGTCTTTAGACCTAATGTGCCCCCATTTAGTAAAATAATTCTTTAAAGTCTGTGAAGTTCACAGGTTTTTTTCATGATAATCCTGTTTCCTGAGGTTGCTCTGTTTTTATTTTGAATAAGACTGTTTTCCTTCGTAAGGGAGAATTGTTAGTTTAGGGTTTGTTTAAAAGTTTTTTTTCAGATGCTGAAACCTAGAAGTCAACATCTTAACAAGTAGTGCAGCTGACTTTTCGTGTAGGTGGTCCACATTTATTAAGTTTCTGCTTTCGGTGTTTTGTGTTCTTTCTGTGGATAGAGTTAGATCACAGAGCCACATACCCTGGCCACACTCTTTTAGTAACCAGCAGAATCATCTCCAGTGAGTTATACTTTAATGATGTGTTTTTTATTTTTGTCTTTGGTCAGACTAATGACATTTATGTGGCTGTAGTCCCCTTCTGCTGAAACAGCTTTTTTGATGATGTGGTTGTTATTTTGCTCGGTGTCAACTTTGTAAGGCCCCATGTTTTAATTTTCTCTTAGAATTAAAACATTGTCAGCTGGGCGCAGTGGCTCACACCTATAGTCCTAGCACTTTGGGAGGCCGAGACAGGTGGTTCACAAAGTCAGGAGTTTAAGACCAGCCTAGCCAACATGGTGAAACCCCATCTCTACTAAAAATACCAAAAAAAAAAATTAGCCTGGTATGATGGCACATGCCTGTAATCTCAGCTACACCAGAGACTGAGGCAGGAGTATCGCTTGAACCTAGAGGTGGAGGTTGCAGTGAGCCAAGATTGCACCATTGCACTCCAGGCTGAGTGACAATTTATCAGATTTTGAGAATTAGCCAGCCCATCATTTTTTTCTTTTGCCCTATTGTTCTTGAGAAACTCAGTGGTTAAATACTTAACAGCTATGCCTTTATATTAGTCTTCATGGTTAATGTATTTGATTTCTCCTTTTTTTTGGCTTGGTTTTCAATTTTTATTTTATACTTATTTCATTTAATAGTCTTGTTTTAAAAGCTATCACAAGCTTTTAAAAGGTGTTTTGATAGTTATTTGTGAACATTCAATTTAAGGCACTGTTAATAAGCCTCTTGAAAGCTATCGTATTTTAAAATTATTTTAAAATAATTTCCATGAATCTTTCTTATTTATTTATTTATTGATTTACTGAGACAAGATCTTGTTCTGTCACCCAGGCTGTAGTGCAGAGGTGTGATCATGGCTCACTGCAGCCTTGAACTCCTGAGCGCAAGCCATTCTCTTACCCCAGCCTCCCTAGTAGCTAGGACTACAGATGCATGCCACTGCAGCTGTCTAATTAAAAAAAAAAACAAAAAACTGTAGAGGTGGAGTCTTGCTGTGTTGCCCAGGCTGGTCTGGAACTCCTGGCCTCAGGTGACCCTCCTGCCTTGGCTTCCCATAATGTTGGGATTACAGGCACGAGCCACCATGCCCAGCCCTGTAGATCTCTTTGGTAACTGTGTCCTAAAGCACCTTCCAGAAATCGAGTGAGTGCAGTTGTTTTCTTATTGGGGGGGATTCTTAATGTCATTAGATTTTAAATACTAGAGAAGGTTTCGTCAGTGCTAGCAGATAGAGTTTGTGCTAGACTACTCTTTCTGATTGTTTACCTGGTCAGAGCTACTTCTTAAATCTGTGCACAAAAACATAATAAAACTGTTATCTATACAGATTTTCTGTGTGAGCTGTAGGCTTAGAAAAGGTGGTCCCTGAGTTGAATAGGCATTGTTTGTTATTACTTGTCCTAAATACTTTACATTTTATTTGACTTTTTACCATTCTCCTACTCTCTAGGTACTTTGACTGCTGTGGAAAGTTTCATCACTATACATTCAGGGCCTGAGGTTGGTTTTTCTGTTTGTCTTGTATTGTTTCAAGTTAATATTAAAAATATTTTGGAAATGATACATGGGTCTTAAAACATTTAGACTAATTTTTTTAATCTATTTATAATTTTTAATGTGTGAAAGTCACCACATTTAATTTTTAAAAAGATACTAAATTAACAAAATTACTTAAAATATAATTTATTTTATTTTGTAAGAAGTACATTGGTTCAATCTGGAAAAGCGGGGCAACTTGAAGCAAAGGCAGGAAGACTCCAAGTGGGGAGGGAGCTTCCAGGTCACAGACAGGTGATACACACCTGTTACATTCAGAAACAAGAATGAGAAAAGCACACTTGGGACCCTTGGTAGCATGTGTTAGAAACCCAGCTCAACCCAGTTTAAACCAGCAAAACAAAAAGAATCTGTTGATTCATGTAACCAAATGTCTGCAAGTAAATAATATGGCTGGATCTAGATGTTCAAATGATATTGTCTGGACTCTTTCTTTTCCCTTCATTTCTCTCTTTTTATCCCTTTTGTTTCTTCTACTTTTATGTAGGCTCTGGACAGAGCAGGAAAGGTACTGGCAGCTCCAAATATTCTTTGTCATAAAGGTTCATGATTTCTTGGGAAGAGCTGTCAGAGTTACATGTCAAACGATAGAGAAGATTAGTCATTTTGCTCATTCTTAAGCCAGCTGATGTGACCTGGGGTAATAGAGTATGAACCCGGAAAATCTGAGACAAGTTTCAGTTAATTGAGAAAGTTAGGGTGGGCTCAGTGGCTTACACCTTTAATTCTAGCACTTTCAAAGGCCAAGGCAGGTGGATCACCTGAGGTCAGGAGTTTGAGACCAGCCTGGCCAACATGGTGAAACCCCATCTCTACTAAAAATACAAAAAAAATAGCCAGGCGTGGTGGCAGGCGCCTATAATCTCAGCTACTCTGGAGGCTGAAGCAGGAGAATCGCTTGAACCCGAGAGGTGGAGGCTGCAGTGAGCTGAGATTTCATCACTGCACTCTAGCCTGGGTGGCAGAGCGAGACTCCATCTTAAAAAAAAAAAAAAAGTTTATTTTGCCAAGGTTGAGGATGCACCCTTACTGTGACACAGCCTCAGGAAGTCCTGATGACATGTGCCTGAGGTGGTAAGGGGCACAGCTTGGTTTTATATGTTTTAGGGAAACATGAGACATTAATCAGTATGTGTAAGAAGTACATTGGTCCAATCTGGAAAAGCGGGACAACTTGAAGCAAAGGCAGGAAGACTCCAAGTGAGGAGGGAGCTTCCAGGTCACCGACAGGTGATGCACAATATTACATTCTTTTGAGTTTCAGATTAGCCTTTCCAAAGGAGGCAATTAGATATGCATCTATCTCAGTGAGCAGCAGGGTGACTTTGAATAGAATGGGTGGCAGGTTTGCCCTAAGCAGTTTCTAGCTAGAGTTTTCCTAGTGATTTCGGGGGCCCAAGATATTTTCCTTTCACAAGAGTAATCAGAATCAGTCTATGAATTAATTTTTTTTTTTTTGAGATGGGGTCTCGCTCTGTTGCCCAGCTCTGTTGCCCAGGTGGGAGTGCAGGGGCATGATCTTGGCTCACTGCAACCTCTGCATTCCGAGTTCAAGCGATTCTCCTGCCTCAGCGTCCTGAGTAGCTGAGATTACAGGTGCACACCACCACTCCTGGGTACAATTTTTAAAGTATAAATAAAAAGGCTTAAGAGAAGTGTCTTTCTAGGAATGTGTCCATTTCACCAAGGTTATCTAATTTGTTGGCATACACTTGTTGATAGTATTTCTTTATACCCCTTTTTATTTCTGTAAAGTTGGTAATAATGTTCCCTATTCCTGATTTTAGTAGTTTGGATTTTCTTTGTCTCTTTTTTTTGGTCTAGCTAAAATTTGTCAGTTTTGTTGACCTCTTCAAAGAACCAACTTTTGGTTTTGTTGATTCTTCTATCCTGTTTCATTTATTTCCACAATAGTTTTTATTTTTCCTGGATATAAAATTAATATAAAAATAAGCTGTATTTGTGTATGCCCGCTACAGTTAGAAGGTGATTATTTTTGTAAAAAAGACCATTTAAGATAGCATTAAGTAAATCAAGTACCTAAGAATGAGTAATAGAAAGTGTGCAAGATTTCTGTGAAGAAAACTGTGAACCTTTATTGAGGGACCAGAAAGAAGACAGAAGTGGAAGAATACGGTGATTCATGGATTAAAATATGAATCCATTTTGTGGTTGTAAATTTTCTTCAAAGTTGTTGGTAATCTCGTACAGTTCCCATCAAAATATCACGGACAGGTTTCTTTTGTTTTGTTTTGCTTTGGTATACATCTTGACAAGCTCTTTCTAAAATGTATATGGAAACTCAAGGGACTGAGAATAGGCAAGACATTCCTGAAGGGAATAAGGCAGAAAGACACACCTGGGTATGAAGACCTGTTACTAAGTCGATGTAAACCCTTGATTTATGGTTAAGGGCTTTTCCTATCATTATTTTTTCTTTTTACAAACCCACTTTATTTACTTTTCATTAATTACAAGCCTTGTGGAATACAGCATCACAGGGCTTCTATGTCTAGTGGCCTCAGCGGGAAGGTTGCTTTGGAATTAGGCACAAACGTGCCACTCTTTCTGTGGGCACACGTTACCTTTTCCCACATTACTCTGGTTTGGTTTGCTGCTAAGAGTCAGTATGATTCTTGGTACACATAAGCACATCTCCTGCCCAAATCAAATCTTATTTTATCTCAGCCATACATACCTTCAGTTTTAAAAAGAGCCATGTCCTCTCTTTGGTTCTGGAGACCCCACTGATAGCCTTGGACCACAGTTTTCCAGACATATTTGTCTTTTAGAACTCCTCCTCCCAGCAGGCCTCCAAAGGCTTCAAGATGGCAGAAATAGCAAGGGGGCTTTTCAGTAGACGATGCTGGGACAATTGAGTACATGCAGAAAAAATGAAACTGGATTCATACTTTTGCATCCTGTACAAAAATCAAGTTTAGATGGATTCTGGATGCCCTCACTGTTGATAATGACTTCTACAAAAAGACAAAGAGTCATTAAATCGAATGAAAAATTGTTATATATGTGTACATTTAAAATTGAGAATGTTTCTCAAAAGACCTGCTTAAGAAAGTCAAAAGGCTAGCTGCAGCTCAGGAGTTATTTACAACACATGATAAATCCTAACGTCATAATTTTGAGCATAAGAAGCCAAATGCTAAATAATAAATCATGTTTGATTGCATTTCTGTGAAGTTTAGAAACAGGCAAAACGAATTGTATTGTTTAGGGATGAATGTATAGGTGGTTAAATGCTACTCAGGTTGAGTAGATTAACAAATTGAACCTTTACAACTTTTAGTTCTGTTACAGTTTTAATAAAATTGAAGAAATAAATCTGTACCAAAATGAAAGTTAGATTTGGTATCTCTGCTTTTCGGTATCATCAAAGCTAAGATAGGAAAACCTGAATCTTTGGATAGTTTTATTTTTTCTCTTATTTATTAACAATGAAAGATTCCTTCATATCTGCCTCACGGATATCCCTCCTTGAAAATCTTGTGACAGAATTAGTTTTGAATCTTTCTAAATTACTCTCTTCACCTAAATAATGTAAACAACATAGAGGGAAGGATATAATACAATTATGTACAATCAGAATAATAAATGAAGTTTAAATATTCATGAAAGAAAATTAAAAGGCCCACCTAGAAGTTAGATAAAGAAAGGTCAGTGCTAGGCCAGGCGCAGTGTCTCACACCCGTAATCCCAGTACTTCAAGAGACTAAGGCGGGCGGATCACTGGAGGTCAGGAGTTCAAGACCAGCCTGATCAACATGGTGAAACCCCATTTCTACTAAAAATACAAAAATTAGCTGAGCTTGGTGGCAGCTGCCTGTAATCTCAGCTACTTTGGAGGCTGAGGCAGGAGAATCACTTGAACCCGGGAGGCAGAGGTTGCAGTAAGCCAAGACGGTGCCATTGCACTCCAGCCTGGGGGACAAGAGTGAGACTTGGTCTCAAAAAAAACGGTCAGCGCTGTGGCAGTAGGTTCAGAGGTCACGTCCTCTCCTGGGCTCTCCTCAGCCAGTCGTTTCTCAGTGGTGTTAGAGGTAAGGGTTGGGGAAGCTGTAAAAAGATTATTGGGAGAATAGAAAGCCTGAGAGCTCAAAGTCTCATGAAAGGATAAAAAAATAAGTGAGTAAATGAGAGCCTGGGTATGATCAAGCAAATACTAAGGACTGTGTACTGGCTGTGATACCAAAAAGAAATCGAGGGATTGAGGAAAGAAAATATAAATCATATTAGTGAACTTGAAATTTTTTTAAAAATTATTTTACCAAGACTTCTGTGGGAAGACAGATCTATAACTTGGGGCTAGAAGAAGAGGAGGTGTTGGAGGTAGATGGGGAACCAGGTGTAACAGGATGGAGAGATGGGCAGTGCACAGTGTATGTGTGCATAAATGTGCACGTGAACATATCCTGAAATGATGAGGAATTTGTGTAGGACAGAGGATTAGGGTGGCTATTCCTGCAGATCACATGGGGCAGAAAAAAAAAGATTAGAGTGGCTGATCTTGAAGGAATATGGTCAGTTAGGTGGTAAAATTGATGAAGTAAAACTACATAACTTATTACAGAGTATAAAGAATTTTAGGGGGGAGAAGAAAGGGCTTTTCTTGGTATAAATATTGAATATGTACAAGCTAATGAATGTTACTACTGCCTAGCTGGTCATGAAAATTCACCTCAAGATGATTAAATAAGGGATTATGTCTTGTCCAAATATAAGTGAAATGTTGTTTGTGACAATTATAAGATACTTGGCTTCACATTTCAGTAACTACCCCTTAAGACATGTTTCTTTAACTCTTAAAATATTTTATTAGGGGTTGAGCATTCATGACGGTACCTGGAAGTCAGCAGTTTATGGTTTTGGAGATCAGAGTAGTTTGAAAAAACTACGAAATGCATCAAATCTGAAACCTGTCCCACTCGTTGGTCCAAAATTGAAGAGAAGGTATATTAACTTAAAATCCATTTTTTAATATGTCTAATCTAAGTATATTGTTTGATTGGCTATTAATAAAGTACATTACTAAGAAAAGCTTGGAGGCTATTTTGTAGTAAGTTCAGAATTGTTTTCAAAGATAAATAAGATATAATTAATACATTATCATAAGCTTAAGTGCTTCATATATAATTTGAATCCTAGGAAATAAGTGATTTTATGATGACTTTTCACTATCAATATAGAAATTAACTGTCAGCTAAATTTTATGTGGTAACTTTTTTCTCTTTTAAAAATTTATTTTAGTTTAGTTTTATACTGCAGGACATATGTGAGAACTTTAAAGATTTGAATTTAGGGGTGGGCTGTTAAAGTTAGCATTCTATTTTTTTCATTTGAGATAGAGTCTCTCTTTGTTGCCCAGGCTGGTCTTAAACACCTAGCCTTAAGTGATCCTCCTGCCTTGGCCTCCCAAAGTGCTGGGATTACAGGCATGAGCCACCATTTGTGGCTGAATTGGCACAGGATTTGGCAAATCTTGCCACTGATTTGCTTATTCAGACATTTGCCAGCTAAAGTTGTGGTCACTATAATTGCAGGAAATGCAAAATATTCATAGATCTGTCTTGCAGGTGGCCAATTTCTTATTGTCGGGAACTCAAAAGTTACTCCATTCCTTTTATGGGATCGGATGTGTCTGTTGTAAGGAGGACTCAACGTTACTTGTATGAAAATTTTGAGGAATCACCAGTAAGTATATATGGTTTATTTATCAATAAAGAATATTCTGGGTTTGTTACAGTTCCCCTATCTGTTCAATGTAGGATATTTTTGTTTGTAAGGCAGAAAAAGGAAGAGCTAAATAATACATCTTTCATGCTCTGGAAATACACAGAGTCATTAGGGTAGAACGTTGTGTATTTTATGTCCTTGCCCTCTGATTCAGACCTGGCTGCTGAATAACTTTTTAATGTAACACAATAGCAGCAAATTCAGTACAGGAAACCCTGGTGTCAGCAGCACTCCAAAATCCTTGTTTAGCGTTTCAGTTGCTAGAAACTCTTGCTTGTGGAGATGTCCGGAACCTTCTCTGTCCACTCTACTTGCCACGTCTGGAGTGCCCTCCTGCTTCTTTTGGTGAGGAAAGTAATTGCTTTCATTGTTGAGACTTCAAGAGGAAACTGTATTTCAAGTTAAAAGGTGGAGCGCATTTTCTCATAGAAGGGGTTGTCGGTGGAGTCTGCATTCTGTAGTGTATGATTGCTAAACTCAGATATATTATGGGTGACATAGATTTTTGTGTCCAAGTAGGGGAAGGTAATTACGATTTGTAAACAATTTCTTTAAAAAGTAGGGTACCAAATAAAAAAAAGTAGGCTACCGTGCTTCCTGTTCACCGGGTCTGACAAATAAAACAAATAAAAGTCAGCTCCCAGTGTCTGGTTTCTGAACAAGGTTTCAGAACATGATGCACTTGTAAAGGGAAGAGAGAGGTACCGGTAGCTAACATTCTTGTATTACTTGGTCTGAAATGTGGGGTAATGTTCTCACTTTGTATTCTGAATCTAGGTGCAGTATGCTGCTTATGTAGCTGTGGGAGGCATCACCTCTGTTATTAAGCTGATGTTCGCAGGACTTTTCTTTTTATTCTTTGTGAGGTTTGGGATTGGAAGGCAACTTCTCATAAAAGTAAGCAAGATTTTATGAAATTAGATCCTTAGAAGTATTTTCCATGCGTTTTTAAAAAGTCACTGAAGGTGTTTTTGTTTTTCCTTTAGTTCCCATGGTTCTTCTCCTTTGGCTATTTTTCAAAACAAGGCCCAACACAGAAACAGGTAATCCTCCCCTTTGTGTCCAGATCACTAAAACATGATTTTTCTTTTGTTTTTACTTTTCCTCAGTGCAGTGACAGTACCATTGAAGACGACAAGGCACCGTGTTTCAGACGCTCTTTTAAGTTCTTTCTGTAGATTAGGTTATTGCTCCGTGATGAAATTAGGACAGGATATTCTGGCAGATGAAGTAATATTCCCGTCTATGGAAAATGTCCATTTGGAATAGAGCGGTCGGGGTTGCTGTGCCCCAGGAGGACGTGACGTATTTACTCGGTGCGCCTTTGCTTTCTTCACAGCTGGATGCCGCATCGTTTACGTTGACATTCTTTGGTCAAGGATACGGTCAAGACATTGGTGCTGATAAGAACAAGCCAAATCTCAAAATCTGTACTCAGGTGAAAGGACCAGGTATTTCACATATCACTTATGAATGCTGAGAAAACAGAAAAAAGGATGCTTTGGGAGTTTTATACTCTTAAGCTGTAAAGTAGAATGCCATTACAGTGTATTCTTTTTAAAGCTTAATTGTTTTAGAAATACATTGGTACAAATTTAAAATGATTCTGTCGAAGACTGAAACTTTGATATAATCCAATTTTATTAGTGCATCCTTCCCTCTGGCTTTTTTTCAGTATGCTTCAATAATTCAGAATGGCACATTTTAATTAGTATTAATAAGAAAAGGGATTGGTTGATATTAATGTGTTTGAGTCTCATATGCAAGTAGTGTAATTATAACGTCAGTCAAATCTGTGGTCTAGGATTTCCTCTTTTTTTAGATGGAGTCTCACTCTGTAGCCCAGGCTGGAGTGCAGTGGCGTGATCTCGGCTCACTGCAACCTCCGCCTCCCTGGTCCTGGTTCAAGCAATTCTCCTACCTCAGCCTCCCAAGTAGCTGGGATTTCAGGCACCAGCCACCATGCTCAGCTAATTTTTGTATTTTTTAGTAGTGATGGAGTTTTGCCATGTTGGCCAGTCTGGTCTTGAACTCCTGACCTTGTGATCCACCTGCCTCAGCCTCCCAAAGTGCAGGGATTACAGGTGTGAGCCACCGTGCCAAGCCTAGGATTTCTTTAGCGTCTCTGAATACCCTGACATTGTTTGGAAAATGTCTGCACCCGTGCACTTTTCAAGGGACAGGAATGGCTTCTGATAGGTTGTTAAAAGAATGTTGCCCAAAAACATTCAAGAACTTGTGCTATAAGTTTTAGAGAACTATACAGAGACAGACAGGTCCACTTGTGAGTTATAGTATAATTACTGTCGTCCCTGATAAGTCACAGCTTCTTATTTTTTATTTTTTATTGAGACGGGGGTCTCATTATGTTGCTTAGGCTGCGCTCAAGCAGTCCTCCTGACTCCCTTCTAAAGTGTTGGGATTACAGGCATGAACTACCATGCCTGGCCCACGGGGGATTTTAATCAAGCCAGATGACAGTTTATTTCTATCTTGCCCTTTTTTCAAATTCCCACCTGTCTTTTGAAGGTAAGTTGACTGTATTTTCATTATTTGACAGGATTATAAATGCCTATGTTCATGTGTTTATAAACTTTTTTTAAACTTTAGTCAGTTGTTTCCTTTAAGAAAAAATTGAGAGGGTTTTTTTGTTGTTTTTAAGTGAAGTGTATGAATACAGATAGGGATGGCTCAGCGTAGCGGCAGAGAAGCAAGAAGCGGAGCATCACTGGCTTCAGTTATTACCAAGAAGCAGTGCAGTGCAGTGGGTGAGAGTGAGCTCTGGAACCAGCTGCTGGGTGTGACTGTGACTCAGTTACTGCATGCTAGTTTGCACAAGTCACTTAACCTCTCTCTCTGTGGATAAAGAGAGTATTGACCTTAGGTAATTGTTATGAAAATTAAGTGAGTTTAATAGATGTAAAGCACTTAGTACAGTTCCTAACACTTAATAAATACTGTAGAAATGTTATTTTGTTAAGTGACCAGAGTGTCTATTGAAAAAAGTCTGTACACCTAGAGTTAGATAGAAAGTCTGCCATTTGACGTTTGATGTTGTGGAACGGATACTTCATGAATGCTTTCTTTTTCCTTGATCACCTGTTTCTGCAGAGGCTGGCTATGTGGCTACCCCCATAGCCATGGTTCAGGCCGCCATGACTCTTCTAAACGATGCTTCTGATCTGCCTAAGGCGTGAGTTTGGCTTTCTTTTCATTAGAAGATACCTTTTTTATCTGTGTTATATTTTAGCTTATTTTGATTTGATTTTCAGGCTTTGGGTCTGCACATAAGCATTTATAGTTCAGTTCTTTTGATCCAAAATAGAGTTAAATTAAAACTGTGAGAAGGAGAGCTTCTTACCAGCCCAGAGCTGGTCCCAGAGGAACAACTGAGGAGGTAAATGAGAGGACACAGAAAAGTGTGAGAGCCGTAAGTTAACTTTAGCTCTTTATAAAAATGGCTCAAGTCCAGAGTCAGCCAGTCAAAAAGGGCCCCTGTTGTTAGATCGTATTACGAGGAGCCTCCAGTCAGTGCTGAACTAGACACCGCTGGCAGTGGCATCCCTGACTGACGCCGGCGTAAATGGAATCATGGGATCCGGGCTAGATGATTATCAGACCTACTGTCTTACTGGGGCATTTAGCTGTCACCCTAAAACTAGGCCAGCTTTTCATATGAGCATAGGCCTGCTGCTGAGAAGTAAATCAGGCATGACCTAAAATGGGATTAATAATAAAAGAAGTTGTATATAGTGAAACCTAATTAAATTTTTAAAATACTTTTGTCCCCTTTGAAAATATTTAGCATTTACAAATGTTAGCGGTTATATTTTTAAGAACTTATTTTTCATCCAATTTAAGTTCTGTTTAGACTTTAATAATAATCGATTATCTAAGTTTATTCCATTCAGGTCTTTAATCCCCCTGAGTCTGAGGACTGTCCTTAGAAACAGCAGCAGTCCTTCAGGGTGATGACACCTAGTGTGCCCCTTGAACACATGCATAGAATGGAAACAGCATTGCCAGGAACGGAACCCATCTAGGCAGGGTTGGCTGTGGTGCTAGTTTCTCCTGACTAATATTGATTGGGCTGATTTTAGGAATGGATTCAAAGGTAGCCATGATTAGCATGAAGACTCGGGTTTTCATGAATTCTGTAGCAATTTGATAGCGAGGCTGATCAAATAGGAGAAGACTGAGAGGAGTTGTGTGCACTGTTTTCTCTTGTTATTGTTTTACAGGGGCGGAGTCTTCACACCTGGAGCAGCCTTCTCCAAAACAAAGTTGATTGACAGACTCAACAAACATGGTATTGAGTTTAGTGTCATTAGTAGCTCTGAAGTCTAAACATTTGAAGAATTAACTGAAGTCACAAGGTCCATGAATTAACAGCTTCTCTATTTGATATCTGAAATTATTCTATAAGCCTCTCTAACTCTATGTGGAAACGTTTGTCAAATCTAAAATATTAAAAGCAGGAAATTGTCCTAGCTTACGCTAAGTTTCAAATCTCAACTGATTCTGTGATTTTATCGCTTATGAGGGAGAACTCACATTTGACATATTTTTTTCATTGTGTTCCTGGTAGATTTCCATGAATGAGCTGGCAGGTCTAATGAGGGAGGAGGTGTCCCAGGCTGTGGTTTCCAGCAGCATTGCTGGTTGTGGGTGCGCAGACCGGCGTGAGTGCAGGGCAGTAACTGCTGCTCGCCTCGCCGCAGGGTGAAGGAATCTTACCTTCTGTGTTTCTCTGCATGCTGTCTTGAGCCTTTGCTAAATGAAACTACCTTTTTTCCTATTTTTGCCTAGTTTTTCACTTAGCTACAGTGATTTTGGACGGTTACTTAAGTTGGAAAATACAGGGTTGTCAATTGAATGGTGTTTTTGGACCTGCCTGTGTATTTGTGTAGTGGTAGAAACATGCTGCTTAAGTGGCCTAACCTGTTTCTTGCCAATGAGTAGACTTAGCATTTTATCTTTACCTAATTCTATATCTGTGATTAGGTTTAAGGATACAGCTTATAAGTTGCTATCTACTTTCACTGCCCAAGCAGAATTTTTCTCTAATTGACTTTTATATTTTAACTAGTTTTATGTTGAAGCCCTAAAATAAGGCAAAGGACTTTTTCGTCTGTGATAAGCATGTAATAAACATACATACATAGTGATCGGGTTGCTCATTGCCTAAACAAGACAGCCACTCGTTTATGGAATTTCTACTAAAAAGTGAGGAACATAAACTATGTAGGAGTATGATTCGTGTTGGGAGACCCTTCTGTTCTGCCTGTACAGAAGAAGGGGAGGGTATCTGACTTGAAGAGGGGATCTTGGTGTCAGTACTACCCACTCTAACCCTGCTTCCTCTGTCCTGGCCTGGTCATCACAAGATACAGATTTGGGTCTCAGCTCTTGCTTAATTTGTGGGAGCAATAGAGCCCATGACTAGCTGCACATCTGAATCACAAAATGATAATAGGTTCCTCAGTGCCTCCAGGAGTTTGCATTCAGGAGGTCTGGAGGTCGGAGCCTCTGTGTTTTTGAAATGCATTTGGGAACCACTAGGTGAAGCTACATATTCTGTCCCTGTTTCTAGCTTTGCAACGTATGCTCGAGCATTGACTCTGATTCTGAAGGTAGCAGTGTGCCCCATGCTCTGGCTTGAGGTACAAGTGTGTCTCATCCTGATTTTCCTTTTAATCCCCCAAGGTTCTGCCTGCTCTCATTTGCTGAAAGTATAAGACTCACCTCAGGCCAGTAGACTGCAAATTGTCCAAAACTCTGAGGCTCGATTCAACAGGTAGAAGCCATTCCTGCTCCCAGTGGCCAGGCAGAGAGAACTGGAGTCTGCCCAGCCTCTGCTGTTACTGTTGTCTCGCTGTCAGTCTTCCCAGGATTTGGTGATGCCTTTGCTGACACTGTCCTGGCCGTCACCATGAGGTGCTCCACTCTCAGGCTCCAGAGTTTTCTCGGTTCACTTGTGTGGGTTGTCAGGACCTGAGCTGTAAGCAAAACCTGTACCTCCCTTATGAATCCTTGAACCCTAGTATGAAGCTGAAGTCACTAGCCCAGATTTCCTTGTCTTTCTAGGGAGGTTCCTTTTTGGAGCCTGTGACAGCCTCTCCTGCCAGTACAGCTTCCTTGTCGTCACATTTGACCTTCCTTAACTTCATATTCTAGGGAGTAAGGATTGAGGTTGTCACATCTTATTTTCTCCTTCCTGATTTTTTACACAAATCAGCCAGGACTCCCAGGGACAGTCCTGCACCATCAGGCAGCAGGCCATCATGGTTAGGAATGCAGGCTCTAACATCGGCCTCTGTGCTTACATGGCCTGGGCAAGTTACTCAACCTTATAGAATTATCGTGAGAATGAAATGAGCTAACATGTTTAGCACTTAGATTAGTGCCTGGCACATGGTGTATGCACTTACCAAGTTTCAGCATCATCACTACTGTTGTTATTAGAACTCTGTCTTTGGGGCTGGTGTGGTGGCTCATGCCTGTAATCCCAGCACTTTGAAAGGCTAAGTCAGCTGGATCATCTGAGGTTAGGAGTTTGAGACCAGCTTGGCCAACATGGTGAAATGCCATCTCTACTAAAAATACAAAAACTAGCTGGGCATGGTGTCTGCGAGGCTGAGGCAGAAGAATTGCTTGAATCTGGGGGGCAGAGGTTACAGTGAGCTGAGATCGTGCCATTGCACTCCAGCCTGGGTGACAGAGCCAGACTCCATCTCAAAAGAAAAAAAAAAAGTCTTTGGCCACAAAAAGTTTCTTTTTTCTCTTTTTAACTTTTTAAGTTCAGGGGTACATGTGTAGGTTTGTTATCTAGTAAAGTGTCATGGGGGCTTGTTGTATAGATTATTTTGTCTCCCAGGTATTAAGCCTAGTACTCATTAGTTAGTTTTCCTGACCCTCTCCCTCCTCCCACTCTCCATCCTCTGAGAGGACCCAGTGTGTGTTGTTCCCCTCTGTGTATCCATGTGTTCCCATCACTTTGCTCCCACTTATAAGTGAGGACATGTGGTATTTTGTTTTCTGTCCCTGTGTTAGTTTGCTGAGGATAATGGCCTCCAGCTCCATCTATGTTCCTGCAAAGGACATGATCTCATTTTTTATGGCTGCATAGTATTCCATGGTGTATATGTACCACATTTTCATTATTCTGTCTACTACTGATGGACTTTTAGGTTGATTCCATGTTTTGCTATTGTGAATAGTGCTGCAGTGAACATACACATGTGTGTGTCTTTATAATAGAACGATTTATATGCCTTTGGGTATATACCCAGTATTGGGATTGCTGGGTCACAAAGTATTTGTTTTTAGGTGTTTGAGGAATAACCACACTGTTTTCCACAATGGTTGAACTAATTTACACTTTCACCAACAGTGTATAAGCATTCCTTTTTCTCTGCAACCTCACCAGCATGGTTTTTTTTGTTTGTTTTGAGATGGAGTTTCACTCCTGTCACCCAGGCTGGAATGTAATGGCACGATCTTGACTCACTGCAACGTCCGCCTCCTGGGTTCAAGTGATTCTCCTGCCTCAGCCTCCGAGTAGCTGGGATTACAGGCATGAGCCACCATGCCTGGCTGACTTTGTATTTTTAGTAAAGATGAGGTGCTCCATGTTTCTAAGGCTGGCCTTGAACTCCCGATTTCAGATGATCTGCCTGCCTTAGCCTCCCAAAGTTCTGGGATTACAGGCGTGAGCCACTGTGCCCAGGCTAGCATCTGTTATCTTTTGACTTTTTAATAATAGCCATTCTGACTGGTATGAGACAGTATCTCGTGGTTTGGGTTTGCATTTCTCTAAAGGTCAGGGATGTTGAGCTTTTTTTTTCATCATATGATTGTTGGCTGCATGTATGTTGTCCTCTGAAAAGTGCCTGCCATGCCCTTCGCCTACTCACAAAACATTTATTTACGGCCTCTCCGAGAGTCCTCAGCGTCTGTCAATCCTTGACTAAGACCCATCAGTCAGTTTGTGGAATCAAGGTTTGCTTCAAGATAGACAAACTCCTGGTAGATTTTCTTACTAACCGTTGTAATCCCTGAACCACGGGCCCTGCACTGAAAAGGTCCCATCATATGGGCACTCCTGCTGCTTAAAAAATTGAACATAACAGTATTTCAAATAAACTTATGAGAAGAGAAAAATAAGTGGAGGTAGAATTCAAACTTGTTCAGAGCAAGATACAAAATGAGGGACATGAAATAACCATTGTCTGTAGGTCTGACAGCAAGAATATAGAAGAGTTTCATTTGCAGTCTTGAACTGTTTACTGTAAAAATACTAATGGCGAATGGTTATCACTCACGTCTTTGTGTCAGGCACTGTTCCACGGGCTTTATGTTCATTAACCATTTGCAGTAAATAGTGTTATCCTTCCCATAAAACAAATAAGGAAAGAGAGTCTTAGAGAGGGGAAGTCAGTTGCCCCCCCCCCCCCCCCCCCCCCCGCTCCCGTCATGCAGTCGGTAAGTGATGGACTTCAGCAGGATCTAACCCGAGGGAGTCTGATCCCAGAGCTCCAGGCGCTCATCACTCACTCTGTCCCTCCTCCCACCTCCCAACCGCAAATAGACCCCAGTGCGTGTTGTCCTCTCTCTGTGCCAGGAACATAGGCCAGTCAAGCAGCCGTTAGGTTATAGAGATGATGGACATCACACTGAAGGAGAGTTTTGCTTAAAAGTGGTAGAAGAAATGGGTTAAGTAAGTGGGAAATGAGGTAGGCTCATTAGCTACACAAATCTTCACAACTCAAAGCTCGAATATTTTCACTGTTCAGTTGGTGTGTCTTCACTATTTCATATGCAGTAAATATTCTCTCCTCCTTTTCACCATCAGAGCAACATCATTTTTCAGTTTCCACAAGCTGGATTCAAGTAGATCCCCAAGTCCTTAAACATACAGATGGTCGGAGTAGTTGATCGTCTTCCTAAAAGAAAAAGTGAAAAAATGATAGTGATAGACTTTGTGTCATGAGAGTAGAAGTCTTGGGTGTGTGAGTGGGTACCCAGCAAGCTTTCCCTCTGGGATAGAAACCTGCGTTGGAAAGTTGCGAGCAGAGGCACTGAGTCACCTGGGAGCAGCTTTGTTTCAGAAAGGCTTCCCGAATGACCCTTAGCTACTGCCAGTAGGGAAACTGGTGAGATCATTCAGATCTTCTCAATGGGAGTGTTACATATGTCTTTTACTGCTGTAGAGGGAGTAGAGGAGGATTAAGGAGCCAGTGGGTGTCAGCTTTTCCCATGGGCAGGGTTTGGCCGATGCTTCCCCTAACCTATGGAGGCAAGGCCCCCTGAGAACTGGGGTGCTCTGGGGCAGAGTGCTGGAGACAAATGGTGGAGGAGGTGGTAATGCACTCACTGAAAATGAGAATGGCCGAGAGCAGGCAGTGCGAAATGGCAGTGTGTTTTAGTTTGTATTTCCCTGAGTATTAGTGAAATCCTGTTCAGACCCTTTGCTGATTTTTTCTAATGTGTTTTCCAACA